GTGTAGCTTTGCGCGGAATTCAAAAACAAACAAACAAACCATATGTTTGAGTCTGCTACAACGAACCTGTGCATAATACTATAGTGAATAAGAATGGCAGATTTAAAGTTAAAACTAGGGAAGTGTGTATTTATGCACACATAGGTATAACTTCTTCGTTATAATGTGAGTATAGAAGGAATCTCTTCTAACCTTGCAAATATTGCAACCTTTGCGTTGACTTTCCCAGTTCTATTCATTCCTGTCATGTATCTGAGCTCTACATCGTTGTTGATGGCCTTCTCAAACATGTATAACATCCATATTAACCTTCTCAGATCTAAATAACGCTCATCTTGTCTTGGTCGGTTATGAACTGTTCATCTTGACTTTGTATCGTTCATTTCAACTTTATGAGATCTAAATAACGTTAATATAAACCTAATTTCTTTCTCTTTAATTTTCAGGTTGACTTTCTTCTAGAGTATATAACGGTCCTAATAACCTCATCTGTTTAATTTTCGCGTTCAGTTTGTTTATGTAGTCGTTTTCAGTATTCAGTTTTCAGAAGGAGTCACAATGTAGTGCAAATTTATAAATTGTAAAAGAGGAAATCCTGATATCTTAGATGAAGGGGAGGGGCTGCTGGGGCAGAGCTTTCTAATGGTGGATCTCACCCCCCCCCCCCCTCATCCACCCTAGTGGACACTTTTCAAAAATGTGTATCTTCCGTAAAAAAAAAAAGCTCTTAGTAATTATAATAGAAAATGCCATCTAGTGGTAGTTTTATAACTAAAGATATAGTCACAATTGTTATGGTGTGTAAGCCTTTTCAAGCCAGCGAAAAATGACTACAATTATACTTCTCACAAGACATTAATATTAGGTTTATTATATTTTTAAACACTACATTATTTATCTGGTCCCTTATGGATTTCCAAGACTGAGAAAAGCGTATAATAATATTATTATAACCACACATAATTGCAAAGATATAGTAGACATTTTACAGTTTCATTAGCTCAACCGACAGTCCACCTTTAACGGTTATCAATAATTCAACATTTATCTTTTAAATTTAAAGATAGTTCAAAGTACCATAAATAGTCTTTCATGTTTTTCGTTTTCAATTAAAAAGGACTTGAAAAAAAAAGAGGTAAAAAAGTTATTTGCATAAGCTTGAAAGCGTCATTTGTCTTCCATAAGTCTAGAAAGACGGTAGTTATATACGTTGTGAAGATTTTTGTTTTATGCAGAGCCCAGTTCACCTTTGTTTAAAATCTTATAATACAAAACTGTTGCACATGAATTATCTGAACAAAAATATAATAAATATCGAGATCTGTAGCTATGCGAAATATAAACCTGTTATCTAGGAATTATTTCTGTCTACAATACCTTAATAACATGTGCGTATACGGTTTGTCAAGTTCGTGTTAAGGATGTATTTAAAACCCATAGGAGTTAACGCCGAAATACTAGTATCCAGACGTGGCTTGGGCATACAGTTGGGCAAAACAAAAGGTAAACATTCACACGTTAATAGGTTCCATATCGCATCTATCAGATGGAAATTAATGTAGTATCTACACCCTTACTGGTTGTGCGTGGGTGGTAAAACAAATTAAAAGTTTTTTGTTTTTTTTTTTTTTGCATTTCGATACACACAAAGATAATTCAAATTTTAGACCAAATGAGCCTCGTTTTGGAATGTGACGTCATCTAGAGAAAGCTTAGTTTCTGCGCGGTTTAGAACACCCAACCACACACAGACGCGAGATCGGCAAGAAACGATATGCGCACTAATGCTTTCCAAGCATCTACCGTGCAGCACCGAGTTCGTCTGCTTCGAAAATACACGCGCCTCACAAGTTAGCGAGCAGAAGCTGCTCGAAGCAGTTATACGTTTACTACACCAGTACAGTTGATCCTTCCATATCTTACCAGCCTTACACATTAGCCGAAGAAGGATTTCAGTAGTGCTGTTTTTTTTTTTAATCTCATGGCGAGATAAATAACCGATTGACAAAAATATGCTCGGTTTAACAGTATCAATACTATGTACATGTTTTTAAGGTGTTGCACCAGTTCCATTTGTGATCCGGCCCAGACTTGAAGCACCGGGTGATCTCTGTTGTGATTATCAGTTCCCGCAGTGACCAAGTTTGCGATTGGAGGAGTGTAACTGAGGGAGGGGGAGGAGAAGAGATTGAAATTCACAGAAAAGGGACAGACGGACCCCTGGGTTCCTTACTTACCCAACACAGTCTCACAAAAGCGCTCAATCGTTTTAAGACTAGTGTCTTTTACAAAACCATTCGGAGGAACGCGCATCAACTCAGACACAAACGAGCGACATCTGTAGTCTGAGAATTGTGTGGTGGTAGCTTCTTACTGGTCAGAGATGGATTACAGGGGTGGACAGTAAGTCGGCTTGTTATTGGTTGAGAACTTTGTTTATTTTTTTGAACTATGAAGCGATGACTATAACTTCTCAGTTAAAAAGATCGGTTAGTTAGCCATTATAAGTTCCAGTCGATATAGTACCATAAACAGTGAACTTGAACGTACACCAGCGAATTCTCGGTAGTTTTTAAATAGAGATTTAAAATAATACTCTAAATGCTACACACGATATTGAGTTATTTTATGATCATCACAATATAAGTCTATATTTGTTAATTTAGCATTTCTTAGAAGATGTAAAAGTCAGCAACTAACTGACTAGATAAATGACAATTGCTAGCGGAGTCTGTGTATTTTTAGCTAAGACTAAAGAAGTACAAATGAGCATAAGATTGTGTAAGAATTTCTGGTATCAAGAAGTTTCTTCAGGTATTTGTTAATGCATGTGTAGAAGGTTAAAACCGCATGCAGTCATGAGAAACACATCTGGAACACCGAACATCGGCGTTCGTCGTTGGACCCGTAGCGTGTGTTTAGCTTCAGCTGGGATAGCCTTTACCATCGGTATGTTATTGGGTGTATTTTTACCAGTGTATATGTTCGTGTCTTCTCCTATCTCGGGAGTTACAGTTTCTCGTAAAGTAGGGCGCCAGAGAAGTACAGTAGACCGTTTAACACAGAATCAGTCTGTAACCCAGGCCCCATTCTTTGTTGTTGTTCCTAGTCCAGCTGTAGATCCTCAGAACTTCGGTGTCAGAAAAGAGAGTGAAAACCGTATAGGAGAATTTGGGAAAGAGGAGCAGCCTTCACAAGAAGGTAGCTATCTTCCTCTGGAACAAAATCGCCTGACGTTGACAAATGATTTCTTACAACAGGGCCATGTCTCTGATAATGGAAAATCAACGCCGACGATTTACTTTGCTTATACTGATTCTTCCGAATTCTATCAGAAAAATAAAAACCGCTCAGTATATTTTCCAAAGCGAACACTAAAGTCGGAAAATAGTGGCGTGACTAACGTGAACCTTATTGAAGGTTTCAAAGAAGTTTTACAAACTGAAACAAGCAAGGTGACTAGCTCACTCCTTGCAGAGGGACACTATGCACTAGGCGGCCGGCCTGTCACTACCGTCCCGCATGCTCGTTTGCTCGCTGCCGCGAAACAGCGGAACATCCCGTGGGCTTCTGTTCGCATGGAGAACAAAATAAGCCTCGGCAGCAGTATCGATGGCCTCCCCCCGACGTTTGCAGCGCCAACTTTTACGTCATTCCCTCTTCCTCTTCAAAATCTTGGGTACTCTAGGTCAGTTGCAGATCCAGAACTCCGGAAAATAACTGATATTGTCAGTGGGATATACTGGGCAGAAAAATTGGAAAATCTCATTCCAGGTGGATTTAGTGAAGGTGTAGACAATTGGCATCGATTTGTTAACAAGACAAAAATTGTGAAAATCTCAGAAGGCTGTGGTAGAATGCAGAACAGGCTAGTTACGTTTGATAATGGAAATAAATCCTGTTGCCGTTACAGACAGAACAACGATCAAATCCAAGGTGAGATATTCTCATTCTATCTAAGTAGACTTCTGAATATCGAAAACTTGCCTCCGTCCATGCTGGCTGTCATCAGGGGCCAGGAGTGGCAGTGGGAACACGTGCTATCCCAGCTCCATCTAGCCCAGTGGAATGTCGAGAGGCCTATCGTGCTGACAAAGTTTATAGACAATCTCGTTCCCGCTTTCATCCCTCCCGCTTTCCGCACTAAAAAACGGCAACTTCTCCCAGTAGCTGAAGACCTCTCTAGTAAAACACTGGTCGAACTAGTGGAGCTTGCCCAATGGTCAGACTTAATTGTATTTGATTACTTGACAGCAAATCTTGATCGTGTAGTGAACAACATGTACAACGAACAATGGAATTCAGAGATGATGAACTCCCCAACACACAACCTTGCTAAACACAAACAGTCTGGATTACTGGTGTTCTTGGACAACGAGTCGGGTCTTCTTCATGGCTACCGACTATTAGACAAATATGAGCATTTTCACCGATCTCTCTTAGATTCTTTGTGTGTGTTTCGTAGACGGACTGCTCAATCCATAGCTGCATTGCATAAAACTAAAAATATTGGTGAACTCCTAAAACAATCTTTTTTTAAATATGATCCTGGTATGTCTGACTGGCTACCATTCCTGCCAGAACGCAGTTCAAAAACGCTTAGAAAAAGAATTGATACGGTTTATAATCAGATTCGACAATGTGAAGAAAGGTTTAATCCAGTGGTAGATCAGCCACACTTCAGTATCCAGCGATGATTGGTGATAACAATGGACAAGATATGGATAAGGTAAGGACAAGATAAGAAAGGTTTAATCCAGTGGTAGATCAGCCACACTTCAGTATCCAGCGATGATTGGTGATAACAATGGACAAGATATGGATATTTAAACTTAAAAAGCAGCAACTAGTTGGTATGAGGTAATTCTTGCTTGTTAGTGAAGCCTGAACACTTATAAAGCAAGTGTGGCTGCTCTTTGCCATGAATTTATCACCTCTCAAGACTTTAGATTAGACTCGGCAAGTCTGAAGCTGGGTGCGGCTGCTTACTTGATGTTGATCTTGTAATCTGTCAGTTAGAACAGGACAACCGTTTTCCTTACACGTGTTTTCCAAAGTGTAATATAATAGCCTGCAGGAACGTCTCTACCTGTGTAAATGTCCCGATCTGGGAGGGGAGGGCGTTTCACAGATTGCTGAGAGTTGGTCCGGTTTAGTCTGTCAACCAGGGGGCTGAAAAACCGACTTGTGTATACATAACTCGCAGAGGTAATCAGAAGTGTGTTTATGTTCCCTACTTCAAACTGTGCTTTCAGAAATACACCGAGTAAATATTTATGAATCTTTACTTATTGCAAACACATCCAGCAAGTATAAAAGACACTTTTGAACTGACATCAATCATATAGGTCATAAAAGATACAAAAATATGGTAAGTCCATAGAACTTTGCTGTTTGTTGTTTTGTATATTGTTACAGAATATACTGTTGTACAAACATTTGAGGAATTTGTATAAAGTTTAGTATATATATATAAATATATGATATAAAATTATCAGATTCAATTTTTGTTTATGACTTTCTAAACTGTTTTCCCAAAATTTATCTATACGGTTGTATATAAACTTTCCTGTCATTTCAAGAAAGAGTATATATGATAAATAAATACGTTTGAAGTGAGAGAATGAAAGTTTCATGTTTGTGTCAGAATATCTTATTTAACTTATTCACAAAGCTGCTTTTTGTGTGTATACAGTCCTTCTTAAGGCGAGAAAGTTTGGTGGTGCAATAGGGGCGTTGAATAATAAACGAAGTCTGCCCATAGAAGTGTTTATCACTAATTTCTAAAGTTGAACAAATAATACAAAATGAGATGGCAACAATTTATTAAACTGTATCTTAGAGAAGATAATTTAATATTATTTTGTTTTGAAGCTATATTATTAAATATATATTTTGTAAATTTCTATTATTGTTGACTTCCAAGTATTTATTGGTTAGCTTGTTCTAAAACTGGCCTTCTATAGTGAAACGTAACTGAAATCAATCGTGGACTAATTAAAAAATGACACATAGTGCTTTTTCTAATTTTAAAGGCATTTTTCTGCAGATCGTACCAGTTATTTGACCAAAATAATTATATTATAATAAAGGAAAATTTCCATTTTGAATGTGACAAGTAAAACTAACTAAACTTATAAAATTAACTTTTCTTCAAAATGCTTCAATGAATATTTTCGTGATTTGTTGAAAGAAATAAAGTTCTATACTCACTCTCTATTCTTAAAAAACTTGGTTATATAATTTATATTGTTGTTTTTACATTAAATATTTGGCGTTGCTGCTATGGCGATCTTCCAGTTTTACTTAAGAAAGATCACTTTATTGGCAGAAGTGAGATATTGGAAAAGTTAAAAAGAAGTTGGAATTAAACTTCAACATGCTCTTTTGCTCATTTAATTAACGTGAATATTTTAATTTACTCTTGAGGGATGATACAGGAAGGCTCATATCTGTTGATTATAAAACGACTGAGTCACTAAATTCTACCTTTTCTTCAATTTTGCTAACACAGATTTAAGCAATATTCCTCATCCTAAAAAGTTGCTAGATGAAAATAAGATCAAACAAAATGACGCATTAATTCTTAGCCTGTTAAGAAAAAAACTGGGAAGTTTAAATAATGAGAAAGCTGCTTTTGGGCCTGATAACATTTCCACTGAGATTCTGAAGAAGGTTAAGGACTGGATATATAAGCCACTTGCCACCATTACTTTTCATAAGTCCTTACTTTTCATAAGCCAGGAGAAGTTCAGTTTATTTTAGTAAAATACCTATAACATAATTCTTACAACTTGAAAGTTTTATGATAACCTAGAAAAATATCTGGGGATATTTTTCTAAACCTAAACTTGTAAAATACCTATATATATATTTTAAAACTCATACACTTTTGCTTTAACCTTTTGTTATGCTGGATTATTTGACAGTAACTTAGTAATATATTCATAGAAAACGTTAATCTATTAAGATGTCAATAAAGTGACTTTTAAGATAGAGATGTTTTTCGTTAACCTGGAAAAATAATTATAAAATTTATTTTTTTGTTTAGATAGTTTTCTGACATTCTATGAAAATATCCGAGCGTTATTTTTAATAATTGTGAACAATTTTACTGTAACTTTACTGTAACTGATACTAATCTAGAAAATATTTTATAAATAATTGTGAACAATTTTACTGTAACTGATACTAATCTAAAAAATATTTTATAAATAATTGTGAACAATTTTACTGTAACTTTACTGTAACTGATACTAATCTAGAAAATATTTTATAAATAATTGTGAACAATTTTACTGTAACTTTACTGTAACTGATACTAATCTAGAAAAATATTTTATAACCTTGAAAACCTTTACTTTATGTAAATGAAATATCCATGGTTAAAGAATCTGAAACAGATTTTGTTCCATTTACAGCAACACTCATACAATATCTAGTAGGACTTGATAGTTTTAGTTAAAAACAGTGAAATACAAATAGAATATGTTGTTGTCAGCCTCGATAGTTTCATACAGAGGCGTCGCCAGGTCTTAAAAGATTAGGGGCTCGAGTCCATAGGCAGGAGAATTTTTCAGCATTTCAGTATGATATCGATCATGATTTTCTATTCTAATCTTGCAAGACACCAACTAGTGTTTAGGGGCACTGATAAATAGAATTGGGGCACGGGCCCCGTGTGCCAGCACCTTAGCGCCCCTCTGAGTTCATACTAGTCTAAACAAATGTGACTGAAATATTTTATATACCAACATATTTTCACTTTATCCTAATAACTAACTATAATTTTTTATACGCAAGAACAGTTATATTCTAACCTAATGTGATACCAATAAATGCGTTTAAAGTTTTGTACGTTGTAAAACAACCACTTAATATAATGACGAAATATTTCTGTAGTTGTGGACAGTTTTACGTTAAAATACTCGAATATTCATGGAACATTTTCTAAACTTGGACAATATAACTCTAACAAGTCAAGGCACCCGTGAAATATTTCTACAACTGTAGAGGAGTTAACATTAATCTGGTAAAATAACCATGACATATTTTGTAAGCCTATAACAACACCACATTAATCTGGTAAAATAACCATAAAATATTTTGTAAGCCTATAACAACACCACATTAATCTGGTAAAATAACCATGAAATATTTTGTAAGCCTATAACAACACCACATTAATCTGGTAAAATAACCATGATATATTTTGTAAGCCTATAACAACACCACATTAACCTGGTAAAATAGCCATAAAATATTTTGTAAGCCTATAACAACACCACATTAACCTGGTAAAATAGCCAT